TGGCACCACAGCGCCACGCGCTCCCCGCCCGTGTGCGGGTGCCGGGCATCCTCGTTGGAGCTGACGATCTGCACCGGCGGTTCTAGAGGGAGAGAGGTGGGCTGAGCTGCCAGGCAAAACCCATAACTGGTGTCTGTCATGGTCAGACCCCAGCGTGGCACTGCGGCTTCACAGATTCACTCATTTTTAAGCCTAAAAAACACCTCCTAACCTATGACTTGCAAAACACCAGGCATTGAGCTGCCCTGGCCCAGCTATGCCAGGGAGCTCCCTTGCCTCTCTGCCCAGCTGGGTGCCAGCATGGGGATGCATCTTGCTTCGAGTCTCACCAAAAATCACCAAGCAGAGTCCAGAGCTCTGCCCCATGCTGGGCAGGAAGTTCGCAAACTTCCTGCATGATTTTAAGTCTTCTCCCAGTGCTCAGTGCAAACACTGCAGAACAGCAACATTTAAGTGCAGGCACCCAGCCAGTCTGTAGTGTTTAATATGAATCATGCTGAGTCTCTATCTGTCCAATTTATTGAGCAAACACTCCAAAGTTCCTTAAGTGGGCCTGGTAAGAGCAATCAAAACACTGAAGTACAGCTGGAAATATTGACCCTAGGGCCCACAGCTTCCTGCTTGGTGTCCTGAGTCCAACACTGCAAGATCAGGACAGGCTTTCAGCATCTCTGTACCCTTTCCCTTTGCCCCATGAGACAAGTGGGTGCTTTTAAACCCTCAGGAAGCACAGAGAAAAGCCCATGGCTTGGCCTGCCTGAGTGAGACAGTCTGGGAGTTCCTGCATAGAGACATGGAGGGAAAAATACACCCCACCACACAAAAGTCTCTGATGCAATGGGCAGAGGAACAGTGAAGTTTTGGGGCCGATCTGCCTCCTTCAAGGTGCCAGGAGAGCCCTGCCCAGGGAAAGCCTGGGCTGGAAGCTGGCGTGCAGCACGTCAGGCTGTGGGCAGCCGCACTGCTCTGCTCCAGCCCCATCGATGGCTCCAACAGAGCCAAAACGCTCAGCAGCTGCCGGAAAACCCAAAGGCATTTGGGGATGGCTAGACTTTAGGCAGCTGGACTTGTGCATTGCACCAGCCTGTGACGGGGATAACTCGGATGCCTTGGAGAAATCCAGGCATGCCATATCAACAGCACTGCTTTTATCTGCCAAACCCAAAATTGTGTCAGAGAAATCCTCATTTAAGCCTTCTGTCACCCTCAGCTCACACCACGCTGTCTGCTGCTGATTATACTATTAGCCCTTCCCCAGTGACCGAGCTCTGAACCAACTGAGTCAGGCTCTTTAAGACTCTTCAGCCTGAGTTATGCAAAGCTGCTAAGCTGAAATATTGAACTTCAGCAGATGGTGTTTCCCCCCTCTTATGTTACAGATGCTGAAATTTCCATGCCTGTGCACTGCCACGGGATGGACACTGCCTTCTGTCTGTCTCCAAAGCGTTATGGCCATTGCTGATCACCCCATGCGGGGAGGAGGTTGCAGCCCATCCCTCCCGCCGGTGATTCTGACTCTATCATGTTTAAAGCCCTTCTTTCTTAATCCTCTGGGCAATTACTATTTCACTGATTCTTCTGGTGTCTTGTGTCACTCATTGCGCTTCTGCACTTACACCCTCTGCGATTACTCGCACTCTGCACTATCCCCACGTGAGCACAGCGGAGAGGATCTGTCACTGTGGTCACTTCACCTTTTGACCAGGCTGTATTTCTGCCACACATAGCTCCCTGTGTTTGTGGCTTTTGGGGCCAGCCACAGGAAGTCTTTTGGTCATTTTCATTTTTCGTTTTCATTTTCCATCTCTGCTGCTACCCAGTGACGCTAACAACACCTTTGCGATGGCGAAAAGTCACTGCCTGATGTTGTCCACGGCTCACACACAATAAACACAACCAAATCGTTGGTATCCAGGCAACCACTAATTTTTAGGTCAGCAATTAACGCTGTCCATCAGAGCGATGCCCAACAGTGAGTCACCCCACACCAGGTGCCGGGCACTCCGTGCTGGATGCTAACGCCCGCTATTTTTAGGAGTGCACAGGTCTTGTTTGCTGGCCAGTGGAGGGGTCCAGCAAGTGCCACCCATGGTGGAAGCGCTCAGCACCCGCCATCAGCGCCAGGCACTCGGAGCGAGCTGCCTGCTTCACTGCTAAGCGTGGTAAGGCAAAGCCCCACTGCTGTGCAGACCCTCACCCAACAGAGTCCAGGTGTGCAGCCAGTGACGACTTCTCAGGTGTGAAGCTTGAGGCTCTGACCTTTTTCCTTTGGCACAGGCCGTGCCAGGCTCAGTGGGCTTATCCCATCCACAAGGCAGGATATCAAGAGGGCAACCACTGCCTCGTGCTGTGCTGGGGCCCTCCTCACGCACTCCCAGCCATCGTGTCCCCATCCCTCCCACCCTGCAGACCAGGTTTGCCAAGCTCTGAATCCTCAATACAGCCCCTAAACAGGGATCCTGCTGCCCGTAGCTCATCTCCAGGGAGAGATGGGAAGCAGGAGGCAGCGTGGCCCCAAACTGGGTCAATGCAGAGGCAGGATGAGAGGTACCAGGTGATGAGTGTAAGTAATGTGGTCTGGAGGAGTACCCAGAGCACCAAGGGGCAGAGGAGGCAAGTCACGATAACACGGAAAGACAGGGAGTGAACAGGAAAGCACGGAGACAGCAGGAGAAAGGCCAGGGAAGAGCAGAAATGCAGCAGATGGGAGACGGTCCCAGGGGCTGCAGGGTGGCAGGAAGGAGAGAGCAGCTGGACACTGCAGCACCAAGAGCAGACCGGCAGAGAGAGATGCTCCCCGTGGTCTGCACTTCCCATTCTGCCTGCTGATCACCCCATAAACCTCCCGCTGAGCAAGCAGGGACTCACCCTGCCCTCGCAGCCCTCTGCCCACCAGAAGATACCCCGCACAGAGCACCACAGCGAGACGCAGCCCTGCGAGCCCATTGCTGACCTGCCATGCACCCACCTGCCACCTCAACGTTGTAGAAGACGGAGTCGCCACCGGCATCGCAGACGAACTCCCCCGTGTCCTGGGGCCGGGCGCC